AGACAGAGAGAAAAAGAAAGAGAAAAAGAGACAGAGAAAGAGTAAAAGAGACAGAAAAAGAGAAAAGAGAGAGAGAGAGAAAAAGAAAGAGAAAAAGAGACGGAAAAAGAGAAAGAGAAAAAGTGAGAAAGAGAAAAAGTGAGAAAGAGACACAAAAAGAGAAAAAAGAGAAAAAAAAAAAAAAGAGAAAAAGAAACAGAAAAAGAGAGAGATAAAGAAAGAGAAAAAGTGAGAAAGAGAAAGCAGTGATCCAAATGTAGTGCTAACCCCCCCGAAAGAGCCGCTGATTTCTGGGATTATTTCCCCACTTGCAGCACTCACGGCCAGGCACACGGTATCCCCTGCGGACCTCCAAACGGCCCCCCAAAAAAAGTCTAGGGGCAGTGGCTTAGCATTGTTTGTTAGTGCCCGGGGCAAGGCAAGCAATTTTTGCCCCCTAACAAGAGAAAAAGAGAGACAGAGAGAAAGAAAAAGGGACTTAGGACAAGAGAAAGAGAGAGAGAAAGAGAAAAAGTGAGAAATAGAAAAAGAGACAGAGGAAAAGAGAGAAAGAAGAAATAGAAAAAAGAAGAGAGAGAAAGAGAAAGAGAGAAAAAGAGAGAGAGAGAGAGAGACAAAGAGAAAGAGAAAAAGAGAAATAGAAAAAGAAAGAGAAAAAGAAAAAGTGAAAGACATAAAAAAAGAGAAAGAGAGACAAAGAAAAAGAGAAAGAGAAACTGTGAGAAAGAGACATAGAAAAAAGAAAAAGAAAGAGAAAAAGAGAAAGAGAAAAAGAAAAAGAACGAGAGAGAAAGAGAGACATAGATAAAGAGAGAGAAAAAAACGAAAATGAGAAAAAGTGAGAAAGCAGTGCTCCGATCACCCCAACCCCCCTCCCTCCCCCCGCACACCACTTGGTGTTCTCTGAGGACCTGGCCAGGATCGGACTGCTGGTGGGGGTCTGGTGTGCCTCCTCCTTCCCCACTCCTCCCCTCCCTACATGTGGGTCGCACGAAGCGGGGAGATGCAGAAGAGCCGGAACTGGTATCGGTGGGGTCCTGGCTGAAAGCGCTGGGGCATGGCCCGGGGTGGAGAGAGGGTTGGCAACAGCACAGCACCAGGTAGCCAATGCCATGATCACGTGATGGTCAGTCACAGTGTGTTACTCGGGACAACACGGGACTAATTTCTGAACCCCTTTAAATTTCATGCTCAGGGCGAAGGCCCCAGCTGCCCCCCCCCCCCCCCACATGCTACGCCATTGTCTAGGGGTCCTGGTCTTGGTGTTCTAGGAATGATGATCCTGAAGTCTCTGGCTGTTGGGTTACAGGATCCAAGCTGTATTGCGAGCTGTGACTGTGGCAGCGCCAGTAGTAACAGTCCCAGTAAAGGCAACGTGAAGACCAAGCGCCTGGCTGTCTTTCACTACATTGGGCTACACCCGGTCCTGACATGTGGGGTATTGCCCTACACTGTCCTCTCTCCCTAAAGCTGATGGCTGGCTTGGTACTCACTCAGATCCAACTTGTAGCTTCCAAACTCCACAACTGCTGCTGTCTCTTCCGCTGCTGACAGGCTGACTCCGTGGCTTGGCTGTTGGGTCATCAGCTGAGCTTAGCTGGGACCTTAAGCTGGGTTGGTCTTCTGGAGCTCTCTTCCCTCATTTTTTTCTCCCTCTCTCTGCTCCAGTGGCAGAGCCCCAGCACATCCCCCCTCCCCAAGATGACTGGACCCTGGACTCTGCTCCTAGACTGCCAGGCCTCTGAGTATTTATGGGCTTCTTCTCCACTTTCTGGGCCCACCTCCCTAGGGATTGGTGGAAGTTCCATAAACATTCATGCTGCAGCCTCTGTTTCCCCCCGCCCACTATGTTCTGAGAAACCACCAGTGAGTTCCAGAACACAGAGGAAGGTAGCCGAGCTACACCTAACAACCTGGGGGGAGAGGAGGGGGTGCTACTCTGACATGATGCTGGGTATGCCATCTGACCCAAAGGGTGTTCATGCTCTAGCTTTTGAAGTGATTGTTGCTGCATCTTTGAACCAACTACCCATGAGCAAGAGTCAGGTGCCAGCTATATCATTATGCCTTTCAGGGACATTTGACACAGATGAGACTATGATTAATCCCCCCTAGTGCCCAGTATGGGGATTGCTACATCACTTCCTCTAAGCAGAGTGGATCCAGTTCTTCACCAGCACAGGATCTTGGGACCTGTAGTCCTACAGCCAAAACATACTGTATTTCTGAGTGTTGATTGAACCACAACTACCAGAAAGCTGGTGAACCAGAAGGAAGCTGGAAGAGCAGATATATTCTATAGCAAGGGACTGACTCTCTCTTGGTGCAGGAGTCAGAACTGAACACGGGGGGACTGCTGTTCTCCTCTAGAGACAGACTCTGGACATTAGTTCAGCACAGCAGTGACGCCGATCACCACACCAGGATTGCATTAGCTACTCTGCATCAGGACTGTCTTTGTCTGGTCTTCACACAGAGATCTCTGCTCACCGTGCTGACAAGCTGTCATGCTATAGCTCTGCACATCCCTGAAAACAGCCAAGAGCCTGGGCAAAAACTCTGTTCCTGGGAGGCCGTGCTATCCATAGAATTGGTGAGAGGGATCAGAGCCCACCTCTTTCTGTCATCACTCTAGAGACACTGCATACAGACACTTTTACACCTCAGTTACCAGGAGACCTTTGCTTTGAGCAGTACCATTGTTCATCTGCTTAACTTCATTAAATTACCAGTATTCACTAATGCTCATGGGCCCCACCACTGCTAGCAGAAGGCAGTGGCTACCACAATATCAGGAACTTTAAACATCACAGGACTCAAGTCGCAATCTCTAGGGATGTTTTATCTTCTAAGGCCATTGTTATTTAACTTAGGGTACTTTTATCTATTTGTGCCAGAGTATACATTTACATAATTCTCTGCATGGCCCATTGCGGCGCTGGTGGCACAGAGGGAGCTGATAATTCAACAAGCCTTTTCTTCTCCCTCTTGCTACTGGTGTTGCGGAGGTAGTGCTACATTACTAGAGCCTGTTACCTGTTGTTGCTGATCCGAACTGCCTGACCATTCACTTATCTTCTGCCTTTTTCATTGCAGACCTGGCCTGTCTCATTACCCTTTGCTACCCACTTGTCAAGACCCCTGTCTGAACCTGCAAAAATGGAAGGAGCACCAGACCAAATGATGAAAGAGTCCAAATTAATGTATTGGTTTACACTTATAAACAGACAACATGTTTTGGAGTTAGAAGAAACTCCCCCTTCATTAGGAATTCATTTTTAAAATATGACATATGAATGGACTCAAAATAGGGCTTCCCTTGGTTTATCTCTCTTCTCCAGCCTAGTGTACTACCTGCCCACTGCTGACCCAAACTTTCTGACTTCTCTTTTGTCACTTGCCAAGACCCCTGCCCCATCTCAACTGTGCTTGTTTCCTCTACCTGCTCTTCTCTGTTGGGGAAATCCCAGGAGCCGCACACTGGTGTGTGTTACAAAGAAAGAGTTCTTAGGGACCACTAGGGTTTCTATTCCATCTCTACCATCAGGAACTCTGGTGAAGACCAATTGGTATTTAGATTTGAATGGACTCAAAATAGGGCTTCCCCTGATTTTTCTCTTTTCTCCAGCCTAGTTTTCTGCCTACTCATTGCAGACCCAAATTGTCTGACTTTTCACTTGCCAAATGAATGTATCGGTTCACACTTATAAACAGCCAACATGTTTCAGAGTTAGAAGAAACTCCCCCTTCATCAGGACTTCATTTAATATATGACATTGTAATGGACTCAAAATAGGGCTTCCCCTGGTTTTTCCTCTCTTCTCCAGCCTAGTGTACTACCTGCCCACTGCTGACCCAAACTTTCTGACTTCTCTTTTGTCACTTGCCAAGACCCCTGCCCCATCTCAACTGTGCTTGTTTCCTCTACCTGCTCCTCTCTGGTGGGGAAATCCCAGGAGCTGCAAACTGGTGAGAGTAACAAAGAAAGAGTTCTTAGGGACCACTAGGGTTTCCATTCCATCTCTACCATCAGGAACTCTGGTGAAGACCAATTGGTATTTAGATTTGAATGGACTCAAAAGAGGGCTTCCCTTGGTTTTTCCTCTCTTCTCCAGCCTAGTGTACTACCTGCCCACTGCTGACCCAAACTTTCTGACTTCTCTTTTGTCACTTGCCAAGACCCCTGCCCCATCTCAACTGTGCTTGTTTCCTCTACCTGCTCCTCTCTGGTGGCGGCAATCTCAGGAGCCGCAAACTGGTGAGAGTTACAAAGGAAGAGTTCTTGGGGACCACTAGGGTTTCCATTCCATCTCTACCATCAGGAACTCTGTTGAAGACCAATTGGTATTTAGATTTGAATGGACTCAAAATTGGGCTTCCCTTGATTTTTCTCTTTTCTCCAGCCTGGTTTTCTGCCTACTCATTGCTGACCCAAATTGTCTGACTTTTCTCTTGCCACCTGCCAAGACCCCTGCCTTATCTCAGCTGTGCTTGTTTCCTCTACCTGCTCCTCTCTGGTGGGGCAATCCCAGGAGTTGTAAACTGGTGTGTTACAAGTTAGCCTGCAGTTTCTTGTTTGTGTTCTTACCTCCTTGCTGCAGTGCTGTTCCTGATCCCTTTCACATGTGTGTTTGTCTGTGCTCACCTATGGGCGTCGTCTGCTGTTCTCGGGGTTTTATTTCCTTGCCTTCTATCACTTCCTAGCCCACCTCCTTGTTTGTCTGCCTATATAAGACATGCTCGGTGTAGGCCGTTTTGTCTGAGCAACTGCCTAGTCGGAGCTCCTATGTGTTGCTATCTCCTGTATCCCGCATTGACTACTCATGTACCGACCCCGGATTCTTTCTCTGACTGTGCTTGTTCTCCGCCTATCCTGACCTCGGCTAGTCTGTCAGATTTCCATTTGTCTCCTCCCATTGTACTCTGCTCCCGTGAGCGGTCTCCTCATGCTCAGCAGGGTATACCCGGGGGCCGCGACCAGGGGCGGACTGGCAATTCATGGGGCCCCCCGGGCAATAGCAAATCATGGGGCCCCTGTGTCCTCGCCAACACTCAAACCACACCCAAAAAAGCCTATTAAAGGTATCGGGGCATCTCATGGGGCCCCCTACTGACCCCGGGCCCTCAGGCAGTTTCCGAGTGCGCGAATGGTCAGTCCGCCCCTGGCCGCGACCTGGTCCCAGCTTGCTGCAAGTCCATCCCCACCATCAGGGGCTCTGGTGAAGAAGAAGGCTGGGGCTTAGACTCCGCGCCCTGGGGAACCCCAAGCTGACTATCTACAAGGGCTCACTACCACAGGTGCTGATATGGTGTGTTACAAAGAAAGAGTTCTTAGGGACCACTAGGGTTTCCATTCCATCTCCAACAATAGGGACTCTTGGGAAAGACCAATTGGTACTTAGATTCCGCACCCTGGGAGAGCCAGCGTCACCTACTAGGGGATATCATATCGAAGGTATAGCAACCCTCTCAGGTTTTTATTGCTGTTTGTGTCTTGATTGGAAGATTCACCCTCTTTTGTAACCATTATCATTGGGATAGTAAAGGAGGAGAAATCCAAAAATTTGAGTTGTCACTGGAATAAGGTGAGTCTTCCCATGGGCACCTGTAACATTGCAAGGAACTTAAAACTTAGATACCCCTGTGCTTGGGGCCCAAAAATGTGAGTAGGCTGTAATCATATCTTGGCTTTCCTAGGGTGCTCTCGCCTTTCTGCCCTCACGAGACTGGGGAAGTCTAGAGAAACTAGATACTAGACGTCTAGAGATACTGCAATAACAAACAAAAAAAAAGAGGGCGCACTGGCCAAGTGTATTATCCTTAAAATATGGCTTTATTAGGTAAAAAAGTAAGTATTATACTCACAAACTGAGCGAAAAGTAAAAACTCATCCAAACAGTACAGTCCAATCCACACTACATCATAAAGTACAGGATGATGAAATCTCAACAGGCTGACGCGTTTCGAGGACTTAGCCTCTTCCTCAGAGACATAATTGACCAAATAGTGATGACATCACTTGGGATCCCCACCGGGAGCTAGCAGTACCGGCTCCTGATAATACAACCACAGGGACGGCCAATCACAATGGTCCTGTGATCAGGCAGGCCTTCCGGCCCCTTGGGCTTAATAGTCTAGTTAAGGGGCCACTGGGGCTGGGCAGGAAGGGTTAATGAGCAACTTAACTCCCCCTCTGTTTTTTTGTATTTTACCCCCTCGTTCCTTAATGGCCCAGTAAATACAGCATTGTCCTGCTGCAATCTTCTGCTGACGTGCCGCAGCTCAGGTCCCACGTCTTCCCGGGTCAAGAAGCTGGCCCCCCAATGACGCATGGAAGCTCCGCCCAATGCCCGTTGTGTGTCTGTGCTCCTGCAGCCTCCTGGGATATGGGGTGTGTTATCCCAGGGACAAGTCATTTTCGCAGAGGTGAGAATGGCGACAGTGGGCAGGACCAGTCAAAAAAATAAATAAAAAATAGAACACAAACCATAAAAATAACAAAAAATTGCAATTCATATTGCAGGGGGAAGGCAGGGAGCCAACGTGGATCTGGGGGTGTTCTGTCCCACTCTCATGTATTATTTATGACTTAAACGCCATGAGGTTATCATTTGTTTGTACGCTAGTGTAGCCCCCTTGTCCTTATCAAGGGCTACTAGCCTAAATTTTGTTTTTGGCTGGGTGGTAGTTAGCCCAGATTGATTGTGTAGTTCTTCACCTGGCTTTTCCCTAAGCTTCAGTGGAGTTGTGATTCTCACTGTCGCCAGTAGGTGTCACTGGTATCACTGGCCATAGCATGAGATTTCATAGACATTTCCTTCAGCCAATCCAATAGGAGGTTTAGACCACTGGGGAATGCTGGGGGAGGATATAAATATTTGGGACAGGCTATGTGCTCTCTTTATTCCCCTGGGCTGAGGCTGTTGGATGGAGCTCTGCTGTTAGGACAAGTAGCCTGTTTGCTGAAGGGGTCCTGAAGTTGTTCTGCCTGTGATGGAGTAGGCTGAGCCAGGGAGAAGATCCAGGGGGAGGTCCCTTGCTGGAGAAAGTCGGAAGGGAGGCTGGTTTCTCGCAGGGCCCGGTGACTCACTTGGCCTGGAAATTGGCTGAAATTTGGGAACGTGCTTACAGTGTTGCCGGTTCGGCTTAAAGGTTCTGTCACTGTGAAGCTTGGGCATTGATCTGGATCTGGAGAGTCTGTAAGTGAGCTGCTATGGTATCTGGGACCTCTAACCCTCACCTCCTAACCAGGGGCGGACTGACAACTCATGGGGCCCCTGGGCAATAGGGGATCATGGGGCCCCTGTGTCCTTGCCCAAACTCAAAAAAGCCTATGAAAAAGGTACCAGGGGCATCTCATGGGGCCCCCTACTGACCCGGGTCCTCGGGCAGCGCCCGAGTTTCCAAATGGTCAGTCCGCCCCTGCTCCTAACCATTCTGCAATAACACTCTAAAAAGACAAAAGTGACTGGTGGCCAATATTCTATCATTTTAGTCTTGGACCTGTGGGGAAATGCAAGCCTGCCCTCTGCCTCTGGAGATGCAATCCTGTCTTTGGGGTGTTGGGGGGGAGGTTGCTACACTGACATCTTGTGGCAGTTTTGGGCCACTGCAACTTGTTTACTAATGCAATTTTGGTATGTTCCTCTGTTCTCCCATCCAGTTAAGTGCCAGTAAGTTCAGCCCTAGCTAGATCTTCCCCATTTCTTCTATGTTCTCTTGGTCAGTGTTAGTACTTTGCAGAGACAGGGCTGAGGAAAGTTGTTGTCTTACACTTCAAAAGACTGGAAAAAAAACATCTTCTGTACTGCAGTTTGCTGAAGTAACATTGTGATGGAGTCAACTTTTGTGTCTTATTGAAGAGTTAAAGCAGAACTCCATGTCAAAATTTTTGTCCCATTCAGTGGGGCTGTGCTTGCACTGCACAGATTAACTGCTTGTTTTGTCCAGGGGGCCCCTGTAGCAAGCGTACACCCAGAGATGGACGCGGTTCAACCATTTTGGCTTCAACCTCCATCTTGGCAAAAGGTCAAACATATTCCCCCCCCTCACTCTCCCCCTTCCTCTCTGTTCATACACAGTAACATATGGCCTGTGTGTTAGAAGTGTCACAGGCCGGCCAGGGCACAGCAGGGAGCCCCAAGCTATAAAACCCCCGAGGGAGCTGGGGCCTCGCTGTCCAAAGAACCTGTGTAATCTAGCACATCGTAACAAGATAACCCAAGCCTTCCCCTGAGTTCAAACACATTCCAGAGGAGTATAGACTAGATAACACTTTTTAAAATCCATGTTTTCCCCTATGTCTCATATCTTGGAATATGAGAGACTTACATAAAAACCAGGCCTATCTTCAGATTGTCCATGAGAAGACAAACAGTTTGATAGGTCACACTCCCTGACTGGAATGCCTAGGAAAACAGAAAATTACATCTCTGGAACCCTTCAAATATGTATTTCATATTTCATACCTACCCGTTCTTCAGAGGCGTCTGCATACTAATCTACCCGTGTGTGGAATGTCACTTGTGCATAGGGAAAGTTATGAGCAAAATATGAAGACGATCCCTCCCTAAATGGAACATTGGTCCTTGACGTCAGAGACACCTCCTGCTGGGGAACCACAAAATGGGCAGTCAGGCCTAAGAGAGTTAAGTTGAAGAATTCTCCCTTTTAACATCAGAACCAACCTGGGAGATGTGCCCTTTTGCTTTGAAACTTGATCTGCAAACACAAGGCTGATTGGCAAGTACTTTAACCCTTTAACCTCCTTTCTGTTATCTGTTTGCTGTGCTGTTGTTCTCTGTATATTTAAATATATATATTGGTTACATCTTTTTTCTGTAAATATTTTTATTGCACCCCTTTGATCTTTTAGCAATAAATCTTTCTTTCTGAAAGTGTTGAACTGTTTCTAAAGCCCTTAATGCAGTTTACGAATTCCTGCCTCTAAAAGAGCGCTACTGTGTTTGTTTCACCCTCTGTATAACCTCTGTATAACCTCTGTATACCTCAACCATCATAGTGTTATTGCTGATATTGCCGAGTTTCCTCTTTCTCTGTACAAAAAGGAGGTGGTGGCAGTGTGAAGGGGCAATTGCGTAATTAACCTGACCCAGTAACAATCACTGCCAGGCTGCAGGGTGCAGCTGGGCGTGGCATTGTTACGCATGTGACATTGAGGTTTTAGATTGGCTAGTCCTTCGGTCACGAGTTTGGTGAGAAGCTCAGGGGTCTGACGCCACGTTCGTCACAGCCCCCAAAAAGGCTATACTTACCCTGTCCTTCGAACTTCCCAAAAACCGACGCTCCCCCATGACCAGTGGTGAACTGTTCCTGACATCATCATGCCCATAGACTGACTCCAGGCGTGAGGACGGCAGGAACAGTTCACCGCTGGACATGGGGGGAGCGCCGTTTTTGGGAGGTTTGAAGGACAGGGTAGCCCCTTTGTTCTTAAAAGGGGCCAGTAGCTGGTCTATGGGCTTGATGATGTCAGTAACAATCCATTCACAAGACCACTAGCATGCGAGCGGTCCAGACAGCCTGGGTCCGAGGAGGTATGTCAATGCATAAAGAGGCGTTGGAAACAGGACAGGGTGAAGGCTTTGATAGGTCACTCCAAGGACTCAGAGTTCTGCATCTTTTACAAGAGTTCCTCTCTTTCCCTTGTTTCCAACAATCCACTTTTTTTTTTTTACTTTAAGGGCCACAAGCTTGCAGGACAGCCACTGTTTTGCACCACTCAGTCAGGGGTGTATTCACCACAATGCAAAAAAGGCATTTGCCTAGGGAGGCATTTTTCAGGGGGGGCAGCACTGACCCCTGGAAGAAAGGATGGAAGAAGGGACACATGCGGCATGGGGACCAGGTGGGATCCAAGAGAGGTTGCGGGCTGCTTGATGGTGTATGCAGAGCCCGACTCTTGTTCCCGGCAGGGGCGGACTGACCATTTGGAAAATCGGGCACTGCCCGAGGGCCCGGGGTCAGTAGAGGGCCCCAAGAGATGCTCCTGGTACCTTTTTCATAGGCTTTTTTGAGTTTGGGCAAGGACACAGGGGCCCCATGATCCCCTATTGCCCGGGGGCCCCATGAGTTGTCAGTCTGCCCCTGGTTCCCGGGTATGTCCGAAGCTGTGAAGGCGAGTGTCTTTCTTGACAAGGGGAGGTATTAGTGGAAGGCTCTCTTAGGTGGGGGGACGGACAGGGGTGTCGTTGGTCAGGTTCTCTCCAATGGGGGGGGGGGGTGCCCGATTTTTGTGTTGCCTAGGGCACCACTGCCCTCAGTCCCCGCCCAGCCTCCCATTCCTGCGGTTGGATGATTATAGCTTTTTTTTTTTTTTGCTCGCTCCGTACTGTCTAAGCTTGCCACGGCAACTCTAGGGAAAAATTCACACAGATGTATTAAACCCATCCAACATATTCTCCATGGCAACGGGGCCGAACGGGGGATTCCAGCAAACCCGACTTCTCCGATTGTAGCGGGAGCCGAGATGGAACGCTTGCTAAGCATCGAGCGAACAGCATGTGGCCAAAATATATTCATTAGCCGCAATGCCTGCGGGCCACGAAAATAATACGTTTTGATTAAACTGCGACAAGTTTCTATCGATAAGATACATTTCCGCGGCCGTAAGAAGAGTTTTACTGGTACAGATTCGAGGAGGATGTAAGAACGGCAACAGAACGCGGCGCGGGGAAGATACGGAGTGTCAGACGGAGTTGCGTGTTGATTAGAAAGGAATGGGGGGGGGGGGGGGGGGAAGCAGAATGTATGGTTTTTGTAGAAGCTCGGCGATGTCGGAATGATTGCGCATAATGGATATTCGCTGTCACGGTAATGGTTGGTAAGCAATAACTAGCCGAGAGCGTATTTCACCGGGGGGAACGGCTTCATAGAAATGATATTGTGTTGCTCTTGTTAGTGGTATTCATCAAATGCCTCCGGGGACGGACCGCGTTATCTCGCCGCTCGCTTCAGCGCTCTTCACTGTCGCCTAAAAATGCACTCTTCTCAGCAAAGTTTTCTACCTCGAAATGGCGCTTTGACTGGGGAATAGCATCACCTTCGCTTACCGAAGGCGTTCGTCTCGGGCTCCGGGACACTTTTTTTTTAATGGAATTTGTAAAAACAAAAATTAATAAAGACGAAAAAGAAAAAGAAAATAATAAAATAAAATGGAGTCCTTTTGCTTTTCCTTTCATCTCTAATAGGTTGCCGTTGGAGGAGTCTGCAGCAAAGGCGGACAGACAACTCATGGGGCCCCCGGGCAATAGGGGATCATGGGGCCCCTGTGTCCTTGCCCACACTCAAAGCACGCCCAAAAAAGCCTATAAAAGGTACCAGGGGCATTTCATGGGGCCCCCTACTGACCCCAGGCCCTTGGGAAGTGCCCGAGTGCTCAAATGGTCAGTTCGCCCCTGGTCTGCAGTACACTCAAGGCTGGTATTAGAAACCACGGGGCCCCATGCAGCCAACCTGACGGATCCCCCCCAAAAAAAAACCCACAGTCTAGTATGGTTCAGTTATGAATGAACACGGTGAGTGATCAGTACCGATCGCTCATTGTGTTCATTCAGGAAAGGTAGGAGGAAAAGAAATTGAATCTCCAAACACGGAAAAGTTTCTTCACAGTGCAGGGGCGAACTGACAACTCATGGGGCCCCCAGGCAATAGGGGATCATGGGGCCCCTGTGTCCTTGCCCACACTCAAAGCACACCCAAAAAAGCCTATAAAAGGTACCAGGGCATTTCATGGGGCCCCCTACTGACCCCAGGCCCTCAGGAAGTGCTCAAATGGTCAGTCCGCCCCTGGACTGCAGTACACTTAGGGCTGGTATTAGAAACCACGAGGCCCCATGCAGCCAACCTGACGGATCCCCCCCAAAAAAACCCACAGTCTACTGGTTCAGTTATGAATGAACACGGTGAGTGATCGGTACCGGTCGCTCATTGTGTTCATTCAGGAAAGGAAGGAGGAAAAGAAATTGAATCTCCAAACACGGAAAGGTTTCTTCACAGTGCAGGGGCGAACTGACAACTCATGGGGCCCCCAGGCAAACTCAAAAACTCAAACTCAAAAAAACCTATAATAGGTACCAGGGGCATCTCATGGGGCCCCCTACTGACCCCGGGCCCTCGGGCAGTGCCCGAGTTTCCAAATGGTCAGTCCCCTGTCACAGTGACAGCTGTGAGAATGTGGAATAGATTCATTCAAGAGTTGGTACTAATCGCTCATTGTGTTCATTCAGAAAAGGTAGGAGGAAAAGAAATGTAATCTCCAAAAACAGAAAGGTTTCTTCACAGTGAGAGCTGTGAAAATGTGGAATAGACTCCCTCAAGAGATGGTACCAATCGCCCATTGCGTTCATTCAGGAAAGGAAGGAGGGAAAGAAATTTAATTTCCAAACACGGAAAGGTTTCTTTACAGTGAGAGCTGTGAGAATGTATATTAGACTCCCTCAAGAGTTGGTACCAATCGCTCATTGTGTTCATTCAGGAAGGGAAGGAGGAATAGAAATTTAATCTCCAAAACACGGAAAGGTTTCTTCACAGTGAGAGCTGTGAGAATGTAGAATAGACTCCCTCAAGAGTTGGTACCAATCGCTCATTGTGTTCATTCAGGAAGGGAAGGAGGAATAGAAATTTAATCTCCAAACATGGAAAGGTTTCTTCACAGTAAGAGCTGTGAGAATGTGGAATAGACTCCCTCCAGAGTTGGTTGTGGCCAGCTCAGTGGATTGCTGTAGGAAAGTCCTGGATCCTTTCTTGGATACACAGAATATAACTGGATATAACATTTATAGGGAAAGGTGATCCAGGGAATATCCGATTGCCTCTCGGGGGATCAGGAAGGAATGTTTCCCCTGCAGGAGCAGATTGGATCGTGCTTTGCTGGGATTTTTTTGCCTTCCTCTGGATCAACTGTGCGTGGAGGATTATGGCTTTTTTTTTTCTATGGTTGAACTGGATGGACTTTTGACTTTTTTAACCAGACTAACTATGTAACTATGTAACTATGAAGGGGCAGGTAAATGTGACATATTTCCGAACCCTTCCCCACTCTCCATCCTAAAGGATCCTATTTTGTGTTTGCATCTGCTGGTGGGAAGGAGGAGGGGAAAAGCTGGCAGCACCGCAGGGGTGGGGGCACACAGGGGGCCTAAGGGAAACGTATGGTGCACAGAGGCGTATTTACCACAAGGCAAACAAGGCATTTGCCTAGGGCAGCATTTTTTAGAGGGGCAGCACTGCCCACTGGAAGAAAGGACATACGCAGCATAGGGACCAGTGGGATCTGACAGAGGCTGCCGACTGCTTGATGGTGTATGCAGAGCCCAACTGTCGTTCCCGGGGATGTCCAGAGCTGCAAAGGTCTTTCTCTCTGTCGCTGGGGGGTGGGTGTTAGTGAAATTGCTCTCTTGGGTGGGGGGGATGATGGGGTAGGGGTGTTTTTTGTCACTGTCAGGCTCTCTCTGCGTGTGTGTGTGGGGGGGGTCTGGTGTTGGTTGGTGTCAGGCTCTCTACACTAGGGAGGAGGGGCGTCAATTTACGTATTGCCTAGGGCAGCACAAAACCTAAATACACCACTGATGGTGAACCAGAAGGGTGAAAGGTGCTGGGGGGGGGGGGGATTACTGGAACCGATCCCCTGTATGGCCCTTTCTGCAGCAGCTAAAAGCCAGTGGGAGGGAAAGGAGAAGAAGCCAGTTTTTAGCTGCTGCAGAGAGAGCCATACAGGGGATCGGTTCCAGTAATAGCCCCCCATTATGCCAATCACCCTCCCTGCCCACATCCAATTCACCAGCTGCCTGGGCCCCCTTGCTGGCCTGGGGTGGGCTGGTGGTACCCCCATATCCACGGCCCTGAGTACACCTCCCTGGCCTCTTCACTGGTCTAAACACAACTGCTGAGGGCTGAAGGATTGGGCCTCCATGTCTTATGCCATCTGTGCCACCCACAGTTAGTAGATAGTCCAAAGAAACACTGCTTCCAAGTGCTCTTGTCCTCCCTGCTAAGCTGAACCTGATTTCCGGGTGCCTGTCCATGAGCAAGTAAGAAGATTGTCTACTGTAAGTATTTAGTTATGGCAGCCCTAGCCAGGGGGAAGGGGTTAATGGTTCTATCGCCTTCCCTAGGCTAAGTTTGCGGGTTTTTCTTTGGGTCCTGCCCATCTATGCTGTGTGATTATAAAAAGGAGGGGGGATTAGATCCAGGGTCTCTCTGTCTCTCTCGCTGATTCCTGCTTGGGGAACCAAGATCATCATGTAGAAGGTCTCCTCTGAAGACACCGACTCGTTGGTACACCATCATCATGGACTACTACCACTCTTGGACTCTACCTATGCAGGTATGCTGGGGCAGCCACAGTTAGAGTTAGGCAGTTAGGAAAAGACTCATTGCCTATCAAAGCTATTATGCTGAAGTTTTCCCAGGAAAGGCTTTGAAACATTGTCCTGCCTGAGCTGAAAGGGGTATATGGAAGTAGCTGGAAAACTATACATAGACATCTGAAGTTTGGGTCAGTTAAGCTCATTGGAGAATGAAGTCAGCCTCTTCATAGGTTAACATGGTACAGAGAAGAAGCAAGAGACTAGTAACCAGTACAAACAGCCTGTCATGAAGAGTGGTACCTGTGCTCTGTGAGGTGTCCTCCGATAGTGAGGGGGTTGCTGCTTTGGGCTCCTTCCTAAGTGGTTCATCTCCCATAGGAAAGGGAGCAGATCAGTGCTGCAGAGGGCCTTGGCCTAGCCACAGAGTACGGGAGAGCAATAAAAATAAAGTGCATGCATGAGTTCCCCGCTATGTGCATGGCGGGACCCCATTTTGTCACTGGGAATGAAGGTAGAGTGGGCAAGGGCTCAGCGTGTCCCTATTAATTGCCAACAGTCACAGTCAACTTTGTGTTGACACGGGAGCAGTATACGGCCCACCTTAAGCTTGACGTTCCCCTGAAAGCGGTCTCTGTCTTGTCCCGGGGCATTGATGAGCATGATACAGCAAAGGTACCCATGTGCAGGGCGAGTGACCCCGTCCCAGAAGAACCCACCCCAGCGTAGGCCTCTTCTGGCACCCTACAATTTGGTGCTCAACTAGGAGAACATGGAGGAAGACCCACCAAGTTCTACAAGCAATAAAGTTACAAAAAGTTACCCCTGGACTCAGGGGCGGACTGACCATTAGTGCACTCGGGCACTGCCAGAGGGCCCAGGGTCAGTAGGGGGCCCCATTAAATGCCCCTGGTACCTTTTATAGGCTTTTTTTGGGTGTGCTTTGAGTGTGGTCAAGGACACAGGGGCCCCATGATCCCCTATTGCCCGGGGGCCCCATGAGTTGTCAGTCCTCCCCTGCCTGGACTGCTCATTGAACCAGAGTGGTGGCCTGTTGCTGTGCGCCTGGCTGCTTTGCTCTAATTTTGGAAAAAACCTACTTACATCCATAGCGCCCCCTATGGGGGGGGGGGGGGTCAGCGCTACCATAACAACAACACGTGATAATAAATATAAATAATAGTTATAAATAATAAAGATGCATTTAAAGATATATTGATGGTCACAGAGCTGCATCAATTTGTATCTTTTATATCTGCCCTAAGCACAGGTGCGTTCTGACATCTTGGCAAATTTCCATTCCTCCTTCTTCCGTGTCGCAAAGGAAAGCTTTGAAACGTCGCCCAAGGTGGGCGCGCGCGTGCGTGCGTCGGGTTCCGTGTCAGCTGTCAGTTGCTCATCCTTATCTTTGACGGGTCCCTTCGCCTTTTGATGATATTTACAAGCAGCTCTTTACAGCTGTGCCTGTGACAGTTTTATTTTAATTTACTCCCCTCGAAGCTCTTCTTGTTGTTCTCTCCGCAGTCTCCACATGCCCGCTGGGTAATGCCTGCTCACGTTTGGTTGAAATAAGTGTTGTGTGCTTTCAAAGCCTTTGTAGATAGCAGCGGCGAGCCGTTGCTTGAATAATGTATAATATGTAATAGAAGTCGATTCTGGTGGGGGAAGAAATGAGGAAAACAATTATAAGGAGCGAGCTGACTCTTCTTTTCTGCAGGTAGCAGGACGGGTTCATACATTCCATATGGACCACGAATGGTGGACAAGTCATCGACCAAGTCGTTGTCCAAATCCTAGCCCTGAGTCAGGGGCTTTTGTGATGAACCTGAAGTGCCTGCCCCACTCCTGTCCTTTCTAGAACACAAACTCTGCTCTTGAGGCTATACCCTCAGACGTATTGTCCCCTACTCCATGCCAGAGACCTCCTCACAACATTCCTGGATATTGACCTTAATATCCTCAAAGGAAGGAATGTCCTCCCATAAATAAGGTTGCTGCACTTGTAGCACCCTCCAAGGTAGCTAGGGGGAGCTAGCTCAGGTTTTTTTAGCTAGGAAGGCCTGGGCTGAGGCAGAAGGGTTATTTTATGTCAGGGCTGTGCAGATCAGTTCCCTGATACCTCCCCCTGCGCTAGAATCTAGGAGAAGATTCTAGAAGCAGTGGGGGTGGGGGTGAGGAGGGGCTAGCCTGCACACTTGCGCAGATACGTCGAGGGGGACAGATCCTCATAGGAGACAGATTTTCATGCTACACCGGAACGGCGCGGGACAAGGCGAGAGGAACGCGCGGAGCAAAGGTAAGTGAATTGACACAGGGGGGACTTGGGGACTTAATATGGGGAATTAATTACTATATGGGGGATGAATTACTATATGGGGGATGAATTACTATGGGGGATGAATTACTATATGGGGGATGAATTACTATGGGGGATGAATTACTATGGGGGATGTATTACTATGGGGGGGATGAATTACTATATGGGGGATGAATTACTATGGGGGATGAATTAATATGGGGGATGAATTACTATGGGGGATGAATTACTATATGGGGATGAATTACTATGGGGGATGAATTACTATGGGGGATGAATTACTATATGGGGGATGAATTACTATATGGGGGATGAATTACTATGGGGGATGAATTACTATGGGGGATGAATTACTATATGGGGGATGAATTACTATGGGGGATGAATTACTATATGGGGGATGAATTACTATGGGGGATGAATTACTATATGGGGGATGAATTACTATGGGGGATGAATTACTATATGGGGGATGAATTACTATATGGGGGATGAATTACTATATGGGGGGTGAATTACTATATGGGGGATGAATTACTATAGGGGGGATGAATTACTATATGGGGGATGAATTACTATATGGGGGATGAATTGCTATGGGGGATGGATTACTAT